GAGTGCCATAAACTGTTAAAAAATAAATATTTATTATTCAGTACTCAATATTGAGTGTAAAGAAAAAGTTTTTGAACGAAATAAACACAGAATATATTAACAGTGTGTGAGTGAGAAGAGAGAGAGAGAGAGAGAGAGAGAGAGAGAGTGGTGACAGATAAGTTGGTGTGTAGTGTATTGTGCTGTTAGTGTAGTTGCAAAACACGAACCACTGAATCAGAAATGAAGGGATGGGATGCGGATGCGATGTCAAATGAATAGGGCTTCGCTGCTTATATCGTGAGCCACACCACTACTCCTACTGCTAATCAATTTTCAATAAAGGATCTGCTGATACAACTGTGCAAATAATGGCAAACAAAAAACATAGACAAAAATAGACAAAATAGACATTAGTCTGTAAAATTGAGAATACAATTTGCATGTGATGTGCATTACCGGTGCTGTACTGGTGCTGTACTTTCTGATTATATTGCATTATATTACATGTATTCACTCTAAAGTGGCTCCGATATCAACGCTCTATCCATTGATTCATTACTACACTTTCTATAGACACGAATCGATACTTTGCTTCTGTTTCTGAGGAGTAAAACAGAGGAGAAAAAGAGAGAAACAAATTGAGTCAAAAAAAATTGATGCCAAAGACAAACACACGACCAATAGTTGTGTTTCGCATAAAAATTGATTCGTTTTAATGTTTGCCATAAAATACAAGTGAATGAAGAGATGGAGTGAACGTATGTTCACTATTGTGTACACTATTGGTTCAGCGATGCGTTGTTTTAAATAAGATTATTCAATGTGTAATGTCCTCATAAAGTCTCATCTCTACTCTCAGCCACTCTCTCATCTAAGTCCTCTCTCTCTCTCTCTCTCTCTCTCTCTCTCTCGTTCAGTTGAATTGTCACTATTATTTGAAACCAGCCAACAGTCCTCTCTGGTAGACACCACACACACAACTACTAATATCATCGTTGATACTCTGGTTGTTAGTTAATGCCAGCGCCAGTATTGCACACCATTCAGAGACTGCACACAAACTTTATGCCCGAGTTTTGCATAAAAGCATACAATGTATGGTATTATAAGTAAAATGAATTAACATTTACTAACGATTTGCGTGAAACACAAAAACAGTGGAGAACTCCAACTGAGTGTCGGAAAGATTTAGTGAAGAATATAAAAATAATTATGAATACATGACATAAATAATAGACATTTTCAACCATTACGGACTCCATATCCACTCTATTCCCCATTCACTTCAAATAGTGTTTCCCTTTTCTCCCCTAAATATACATACAATAAAACACAAGAAAATAGTCATTTAAGTAGAGATTTACACAAAAAATAACAACAATTGTCTGAACAGAAAAGGAAAGAAAATTAATTATATTTTTCTTCTTTCCATTTGTGTGAAGAGTATTTGTGTGCAAACAGTGAATCATTTTTCCAGAATTATATGATATAATCTTCAAAATAACATAGAAATAAATAACAATTTTTTAATTTAAATAAATATCTCTAATAGTAATGTGTTTTTATTATACATAGAAAAACATTTTGTGGATTCAATTTGTGAATCACGTAAAACGTAAACCAATTCATACATAATAACATTAAATAACAGTTAATTTCAATTCTTTATGAAAACTAATAAATAAAATTTGTTGTATAAAAATTCGTGTCTTTCTTTCTTTCTCTTTATTCTAAAATAATGTTTTAAATATAAAACATTTGGTTTTCATTAAATGATTTGAAACGTTAATTACGATGAGAACCAACAGTTGCTGAGAGCGTGATTTGTTGGGCATTTTTATATATGAGTTTACGTTTTGAAATATATATCACACAATAATTTATATATATTTTAACGTTATATGTATTTTGTTATTCAATCGCCAATTCGTGAAAACATCAGTGAATGGTATTCACGACAAAATAGGCCATCACTACAGTCTCAGCATCACTGCTAACAGAAAAGAAATGTCTGATTCTCTCTCTTTCTCTCTGCTTCTCTCACTCACTCACTCTGTGTGTGTTATTTGGCGTTTCCATGTCTTGAATATAATGGTGATGGCAGAGCACAGGTAGGAATTGTACGCCAGAATACAGTGTTGTATTAAAAAAAGGCACACAAAACAGCCACTAATGCCCCGGAATTGTGAGGGAATAGAATATTTGTTGGACTCTTGTTGGGAGAGATGGCAAAGTAGTTATTTAGTTATTTGTTGCTCTTCCTAATGATGTGAGTGCGTGCAGCTGCCGCTGACGTCCCTCTCAGCTCAAAGTTTGGGCTCAGGTCTGACATACGAGAGGAGAAAAGAGGTGGAGGTTTACGATGAGAAGCGCATTAACAAAAACCACACACATTTAGAAATATGTTATACTATACTATAGATATGTAAGTGTATTATAACTTATACTGTATATTAAAAATATAAGATTATTTCGATATCAGTGATCGCGAGACATGCCTACAGAACCGTTGAGTTGGAGCGGCGGCTGTGAGTGGTGTCCGACCTTTGTTTGCCTCTCATTATCAAATGGTTGCCTTCGATTCCCCTTTAGGTCTTTCATACCTTTGCGATCGTCTGATAAGCCATTGCTGTCAACGCTTTGATCAGCGATCGACGCATTGGTCATACCATTGGTGTTGTTGTGAGCATTATGTCCGGCGGCAGACAGTCTTCTAAGAAGACGCTCGTTCTCCCGACAAACCAATTCGTGGTCGTGTATTAGGGTTTGCCTTTGTTGGTGAAGCGACGAGTTCTCGGCCCTACACATCCCATACCATCGCAGACACAAACAAATAGATAATACAATGAATATTATATTTTCTAAAATATTCAGATAATCAGCTCATTGTTTGCTTGAGACGAAGCAAAAAATATATGCCATTTATTATATTAAGTATGAAAAGCTGTGCATTAATGTGTGCAATACTTTGTGTATAACTGACCGCAAGGATTCATTTTCCTGCATATATTTGTTAAATATTTTTGGCTGTAATTCCAATCCGGTGTCCATTTGTCCGTTGCTTTCGACGATCGATGCGTTTGACGAGCCCTGAGAAGTGGGTCTGTTGTCAGTCCTGTCAGTGGTGTCGCCATTACTGATGGTGTTAAGCAAGAATCCATTGCCGAGATTCAGCTGTATTCAAATGGATGTTGCGATTAGTTTTGATTACACAACAGACACACTACACATCCATTAGTATCCCTCCCAACAAATTAGAGCTTCACTCTAATCACTCTAATCATAGTTTTGGCAAAACTACATACGCTTTGGGCAATGTTTGCACAACGTATCAAATGTGTCAGACCTCTCAACCTCTCAATTGCTAACCAAATGCTTATTATTTACCCGATGTTTAGTATTACCTTCTTTTTGCTCTGTATTCAGTTTATTATTACCTGTTGTCTCAAATAGTTGTTTTCCATCCGTAGTAAACGGACCTCTCGTTTCAGACTCAGTATTAGCAGTTCTCGCGGATCCTAAATAGTTATTAATAGACAACAATTGTGTAATTAATGCAATGCATGTTATGCTCAAAGTTTTTTGTCTTTTCCCAAATGAGATCTATTTTATTGCAAGCAATTATTAAAATGTGAAAATTTTCACAAACCATTTGAACGATGGGATGGGTTTTGACTTTCTTAGCTCTGGACGCATATCTTAATGTATTAATTGTTTCCGATGCGTCCAATTTATGCGGAGACACACAAGCGATCTATCAATTTATCACACATTATACATGAGTACATGAGATGAGATCATTTTGAGCTCAATTTGATTTCTTATTTTTCTCCATCGCCAACACTTATAGCGTTTCGTGAGATTTAAGAAACACTAAACTTTATTTAATTGTTTCTAAATATCATATGTAATGACATTTATATTGCGAGTAATTATGCATTTTTATAAGCATATCGTTTTTTGGCTATTATTGACCACATTATGAATCGTTAGGTAAACAATTAAATTTACTTGAATTTAATGCTTATATAATGTTTTTGATGCCTCGTATTCACAATAAATGAGGTAATGTTTTAAAACGATTTGTAAAATGTGTGTCAATAGTATTGATATAATCGTGAAAACATGGTTTCCTAACATAATTCTAACAATAATTTAATTTTGAAAATAATTCATATGATTCATACCTACAAATGGCTTGTTTTTGATAATCAAACAATTTATTTACATTATAGTAAATTTTCAAATTTATCATGATCGTTTTGAATAAAATTGTCATTTTTATAAATACTAAATGTTCGCATTTGACATTATTAAACTCTAGTATTATATAAGTTCAATTCGCATAATGTCCATGATTATTTTGAAAATTTACCACAAATAAAATAGTTGTGATTTATAATTGGATGTTTATTTAATGTAAACTTAATTTAATAATTTTATTTCAATAATTCCTGTTATATGAAATCATGTCTCCGATTATAGCAATACTATATAATTATTAATTTCTATCATTGAATTATTTGTGGTTTATTTCAATTTCTTTGGCTATAATTGATTGGATCAAAGACTACGCGATTTATTGAATTTAGATATTTCTTTCCTTACATTTATTAACAATCAATTACCGGATCAATGCATGGATTGCATCCAATTTTATGTCAAATCAACTTAAATGACATCTCATTGCCTAACATTATCTTTATTACAATGAAAGGAAGTTTATATCAGATAAAAGACTATTGAATTTAAACATTATAGTAATTTAAACGATATAAATAAATTACATCTAAAAACTAAACATTATGTTTGAAAACTTAATAATATTTGTGATCAAAATTAATTGATTAATTAAAACAATAATTTATGCAAAATATCTTATATTTTTTCTAAATAAATGTCAGAAAAGTAAATTTAATTTTATGCCATTAGCTTTGAATGAGACGGCAATAAAAAATGTTTCATTTATATTGCAAATTATGTTCAATGAGTATTAAAATAAAGCAATAA